CACGGTGGTGACTACTCAGCGAACTAACACACAGCACTGATTGGACAAACAATGTCATGTGATCATCTGCAGCCAGTGGGCGTATCATAACTCATTGGCATGTTGAGCCGCCTGTGTCTTACCCTCCGTGGCAGAGGCTCCTTCGAACCGCTGAGACGCTTCACCGAACCCCTGGGGTTAGATCGAACCCAGGTTAAGAACCACTGGTGTCGAGTCTAGCCTGAATTTTGAAGAGCGCTAATAATGACAATTAGCATGAGCCTGAAATGGGGAGAAATTATGTGCTGCAAGCACAGATATAACTTATTTCTGTTGGCATATGGAAATATTAAAAATATATTGTGCTACAACTAAAGGGTTATTTACATGTCTTTTTTCCTAAAATTGTCACTTGCTTTGTCTAAAATTTAGAAACAAATTTCGAAATTTGCGCGCTTCAGTCTCTCAATTTAGACTCTAAATTGAGAGACTGAAGCGCGCAAATTTTTAAATGAACTGCTCAGCAGTTAGAGTTTCAGGCGCAATTGAGTTCAGTAAAAAATGCAGGCGACTTTACAGTCAGAGGTGCTGCCGGAGATTTTGGACATGATAACAAACAACCCTTTCTGGGGCCCCCATAGCTGACTTCATGGCCGCCATATAATTTTGAATCTGTTTTACATCAAACTACCTTTCAGTTATATTTGACTGTCATTTCCATATGTGTTTGAAGAATATCACACTCAGTTGGTATGGGAAGCACTGAAATATATCCATCCATTTTCTAATCCACACACTCACAAGGGTCGCGGGTGTCATGTTATGCTCTGCTTTGTTTTGTTTCAGCACGAGCTGGAGTGTTGGGCATGACCTTTCAGCAGTGCATCTGTGTCTCGTCAACCAATCAAGCTGCATTGTATTTAAGGACTATAGGGGTGTTCACGGCCACATTTGGTCCGACACAGCACTGGCGCTGCGCCAGTTGAGCATTCACACGTGCAAATTTGTTCCGGCGTAGCGCCGCTAAACAGCTTACACCGGACCAAATTGGATCCACCTCAGGGAGGTGGTTTAAAAATTTGCTCCAGAGCAAATGCTCGTTTGCGGCACAGCACCGATGTAAATTTGCACGTGTGAACGCTACAATTTGCTCCGGAGCAAATGCTCGTTTGCGAGGGGGGAGTAGCCTCGCTACGCATGAGAAGAGTTGATTACGTACGGCGAGAATGCATTGCTTTCGTGCTCTGTCGGACTTCCGTCATGTGTTTGTGTAATAACGACACAAGACGAGGTTGGTAACAGTAGCAAAGCACCTCTTGGGTTATACAATCTCAACTAGAACGTGGGGGGGATAGTCTCCAAACGTCATCTTTCCTTTTGTAGGAG